AGGAGCCTGGTGTTTATCCTGGTCTCCCATGGGGTGCAGGGCCCAAGCACTTGGGCCATCCTCCACTGCACTCCCTGGCCACAGCAGAGAGCTGGCCTGGAAGAGGGGCAACCGGGACAGAATCCGGTGCCCCGACTGGGACTAGAACCCGTGTGCTGGCGCCGCAAGGCGGAGGATTAGCCTAGTGAGCCGCAGCGCTGGCCAGAAGTGGCTTATTCTTAGATAAGATTCTGTAAATGTATCAGTTCAATATTAAAAACCCTAAGGAGAATGAGGAAAGGTAATTTTTAAATTTCCATGCTTGTTAATGATGAATTTTACTTTTTGTTTCTGTATTCCAGGACAGAATATTCTAAAATTAAAAGAAAGTTTTTTTATAAATGCAAAAGATCTAAGATATGTAATATTGCTTTTATAAAAGATGGAAGTGTACACCCATGGTTTAACAATCCATGAAGAACAAACAGAAATGACTTTAGCTGTATTTTCTAAAAGTGGCCACAACATTGTCTCCCAGGTCATGTGCTCTTCAAAAGGTGGGAGTCTCTTTGGTTTTTTTAAGTCTCGTTGGGTACTTTGTTTGCCCAAGGGAATGTAGTGGAAGAGATAAAGTGCCAGTTCTGGGCATTGCCCTCATCTAGCTGGGCAACTCCTGCTTCCTGCCTCTTGGAGCAAACTACTGTGTAAGAAATATAGTTACTCTGAAGTTAATGTCAGGAGAAACCTAGTCATGTGAGGAGGCCTGGGAAGATGAGCTGTAGAGTGAGAGACCAAGGCAGCAGACTTGTGAGTGAAGAAGCCATTTTGGAAATGTATTCTCCAAAGTACTCTTGTTGCTAAGTAAGTAAGATGAACCCTCTAGAGGAGCCATTCCCAGTTTTTGACCCATAAAATCATAAGCAAAATAAAATGGTTTGCCTTAAGCTTCTAAGGTTTTGGGTGGTTTGTTATGCAGCAACAGAAAACTTGAACAAATAACTGGGGAAATTTTTCACATTTTATCAGAGATGACAGTGTGGGAGGATATGTGTCTAAAACTGACACGGAGATAGTATGAAAAACAGACAAGAAATGCTTAGCTCATCAACTAAGAAACAAGCAAAACCAATACCCCCAACAGAAAAATGTGTCAAGGTTATGAACAGGCAGTTTTTGGAAGAGGAAATCATAACAGGCTAACAGCATATGAAAGTTTGTTCAAACTCAGTAATTAGAGGAATTTGGATTATAAATCTCGCTTTACATGCAGCAGACTAGCAAAAATTAGAAGAATTATGCCAAACGTTAGTGGGGATGGTAGAGTAGAAACCATCGGACACTGCTGGTAAGAATGTAAAGCAGTGGAACCATTGTAAAGAACAGTCAAGTAAAATTTAGTTGAATAAATATACGTATTGTTTCTGGGTAGATGGCCTGAAGAAATTTTACACAGCTCTGTAAAGGAACACATTAGTTTTGGGTGACAGAGGCTTAGATCCAACCCAGAATTTATTACCAGAGGAATACTTGAGTAAAATGTAGTGGGTGCACATACAGTACTATGTGTCAGATAGAAGCAAAGGACTCCATATATCTACTGCACATAGTATTTTAAAAATACAGTGTTCAGGGAAAAGAGTAAAGGAATTTATAACAATAACATTTGTGCAAACTCAGATGTTTTGCAGGAAAATGTTAAGAAAGGTGTCAAATATGTTGGAATGGTTACCTGTGGGTAAGAAAGTAATTGCTGTGGGGGCAGGTATTTGGTCTAGCAGTAAAACCACTGGTTAGAATGTCCATGTCAGGCCGGCACTGTGGTGCAGCGGGTTAACACCCTGGCCTGAAGCACCAGCATCCCATTTGGGTGCCGGTTTGAAACCCGGCTGCTCCACTTCCTATCCAGCTCTCTGCTATGGCCTAGGAAAGCAGTAGAAGATGGCCCAAGTCCTTGGGCCCCTGCTCCCGTATGGAAGACCGGAAGAAGCTCCTGGCTCCTGGCTTCGGATCAGCACACCCACAGCCATTGTGGCCAATTGGGGAGTGAACCATTGGGTAGAAGATCTCTCTCTCTGCTCTCCTCTCTATAACTCTGACTTTCAAATAAATAAATAAATCTTAAAAAAAAAAAAAAAAAAAGAATGGCCATGTCCCAAATCAGTGCCCAACTCTGACTCCTGAATCTGGCATCCTACTAATGTGGACTCTGGGAGGCAGCTGGTGTGGTTCATGTAGTTGGATTCCTGCCTCCATGTTGGACACCTGGGGTGGGTTCCCAGCTCCTGGCTTCAGTTCTTCCACCACCCCAACCTCCATCCCTACCCAACACATACACTGTTGGCATTTAGGGAATGGACCAGTATATGGGAACTCTGTCAGGTAGCAGAAACAATAACAAATATAGTGGAGAATGAAGTAAAAGAAACTAAAATGACCAGTGATGATGGTGTGCTGTGACCGAAAGCATGTGGTTGGTCAATCAGGCTTTCTGTGCTAGATGTCTGACAGTACCCTCTTCTAAGAAAGGAAAACTATAATTCTTGAGTAATTGAAGAGAACTGAAGAGTACTTTTTTTTAAAAAAAAAACACTATACTTGGAAAAAATTTTAAATGAGGTCAGTGCTTACAAAAGTGTGGTCAAACAGGCAACCTCATATTTTGGTGAAAATGTAAATTGAGCTTTATAAGGAGTAGTATTAAGATCCTTATAAATGCAGATATCCAAGGGCCATTAGTTGCAGCAGGTTAAGCAAATGTTTGCAACACGGCATCCCATATTAGAGTGCCAGTTTAAGTCCTGGCTGCTCTGCTTCTGACCCAACACCCTGATAATGTGCCTGGTAAATCAACAGTGATGGCCCAAATACTTGGGACCCTGACACATGGAAGACCAGGCTGAAGTTGCAGGCTCCTGGCTTTGGCCTGGCTCATCCCCAGCAGACATTTTAGGAGTGAACCAGAATTTGGAGAATTTCTTTCTCTGTCTCTCTGTTTCACACACACACACTGTCTCTCTGTCTCTCTTGCTTTGCTTTCCAAATAAACCTTTAAAACATTATCATGTCCTAGCAACTCTTGTACACTGAAATTTAGGAAACAAAACCATATAAATAGCACCATTAAACATGAAATATCTAATGCACAAATTATGTGCAAGATCTATACACTGAAACTACAAAATACTGCTAAAAGAAAGTGTACCTAATGACAGATATACCATCTTCATAGATTGGAAGACTCAATATTGTTAAGAGTGCAACTTTCTTAAACTTAATCTACAGATTTCAAGTAATCCTAATGAAAATATCAGAATGCTTTTTTTTTTTTTTTTTTTCAAAATTCAGGTTGGTTCTAAAGTTTATTTGGAAAACCAGGCTCTAGAGAAACAAAGTCAAGAACAAAGCTTGAGGACTACTTGTTTTGTTTTTAAATTTTTATTTATCTGAGAGGTAGAATAACAGAAGAAGCAAGAGAAAGGTCTTCCATCCACTGGTTCACTCCCAGGATGCCCACAACTCCTGGAGCTGAGTTGATCTGAAGTCAGGAGCTGGGAGCTTCTTTCAGGTCTCCCACTTCTGCTGTCTTCTGCTTGTCCAGGCCACAGGAGGGAGCTGGATTAAAAGAGGAGTAGTTGGGACACGAACTGGCACTCATAGGGGATTCCAGCGCCACAGGTGGAGGCTTAGGCTACTATGCCACAGCTTGGTTTTTAAGACTTACTTTAAAACTATGTAATCAAAACTGTGATTTTCACATAGTGACATATATAAACTAATGGGACACAACAAACAGTGATACACATGTTCATCAAAGCATTTTAAACCAAAATGCAAAGGTAAGCCAATAGGGAAAAGATAATCTTTTCAATAAATGATGGTGAAGCTGGCGCCGTGGCTCACTAGGCTAATCCTCCGCCTTGCGGCGCCGGCACACCGGGTTCTAGTCCCAGTCGGGGCGCCGGATTCTGTCCCGGTTGCCCCTCTTCCAGGCCAGCTCTCTGCTGTGGCCAGGGAGTGCAGTGGAGGATGGCCCAAGTCCTTGGGCCCTGCACCCCATGGGAGACCAGGAGAAGTACCTGGCTCCTGCCATTGGATCAGCGTTGTGCGCCGGCCGCGGCGGCCATTGGAGGGTGAACCAACGGCAAAAAGGAAGACCTTTCTCTCTTGTCTGTCTCTCTCACTGTCCACTCTGCCTGTCAAAAAAAAAAAAATAAAAATAAAAAAAATAAAAATAAATGATGGTGGAACAGCTGAATACTCATGTGCAAAAAGATGAGCCTTTACCCTTGCTTTATAGGATAGTCACAGATTAAATGGGTCGTAAACCTAAACATGAGATAGAACTAAAAATTACAGAAGGAAACTTGAGGAAAATCTTTGTGATCTTAGATAATGCAGATTTCTTAGATAAAAAACAAAAACTAGAAATCCTGAAAGAAAAATGTAGATGAATTAGACTTCGTCAAATTAAATGAAAAAGCAAGCCATATGCTGAGAATAATATGCAAGATATCTGATAAAGGATTTCTCTCCAGGTTAGACAACCTACATAACGCTTGAGACAGCATGGCGGGTGTTTTGCCCCGTGGTTATGATGCCCACACTCCATGTCATTGTGCCTGCATTTGATAACCTGGCACTGACTCTTGATTCCAGTTTCCTTCTAACACCAGCCCTGTGAAGTAGTGATGATGGCTCAAGTAATTGGGCTTCTACTACCATCCATATGGAAAACCTGAGTTACATTCCCAGCTGCCGACTTCAACTCCTGGCTCAGCCCTAGCCATTGCAGGCAAGTGGGGGAGTGAACCAATGAACAGGAATTATATCTCTAGCTCTATATCCCTCACTTAGCGCGTGTGTGTGTCGGCCTGGCTGCCTGCCTCTCAACAAAACAACAACAACAACAACAAAAAATCCAGACAATGTAATTGAAAGAATAAACAAAAGCTTTATTATATATATGAGCCATGGAGAGCCTATGTGGGTTAGCTGATAGATTGTTTATTTCTTTAATGCAGGTTGAGACTTAACTCAAAAGCTTGCCAGTGCCAAACGCATTTTGAAGATTTGTGACTTAGAACCTACCTTACTTGCATACCTCATGAAACCACACCGCAGGCAAAAGATGAATTCCAGGCCCCAAACCACTGCCATACCAGCCCTTCAAAGCTCTCCAACCCAGAGCCTCCTTGCCATCTACTGGAGGGACATCACCCAGACATGTAAGCTCTCTCTCTGTTTCCCTATCCCCTAAAAGTCCCCTCCCTTTCTCGAGGGTGGCACCTTGTAACCATCCAGAAAGTCTTATACTATGAAGGATCCCATGCAACCCTGTCCAAGCAACACGATAAACCTGTGTGTTACTGCTTCATGTATTTCTCTTTGATCGCTGCCCCCAATCTCAAACATTCTCCAAGACTTGAACAGACACTTCACATTTTGGTTAAATAAATGCCCAATACACACTTGAAGAGGTATTCATTATCTTTACAGTAAACATAATTAATTAAATGCTAATTAACACTAATGCCACATTGTGATACCACTACGTAGTACCTAGTTTAAAAAAAAGATAATACTAAGTGGTGGTGAAGATATGGAACAACTGTAGCAAAATGTACTGTCATTTTGGAAAACAGTTTAGAAGTGTCTTACAGAAATAAATACCATATATTGGGGCCAACATTGGGCGTAGCAGGTTAAGCCACCTCCTGCAGCACCAGTATCCAATTTGGGTGCCAGTTTAAGTCCCAGCTGCTTGACTTCTGATCCCTCTCCCTGCTAATGTCCTGGAAAAGCAAGTGCTTGGGCTCTGCATCCACATGGAAGACCCAGAAGAAGCTTCTGGCTCCTGGCTTCGGCTTGCCCAGCCATGGCCTTTGTGGCCCTTTGGGGAGTGAACCAACAGATGGAAGACCTTTCTCTCTCTCTGTCTCCCCCCACCCCCCATAACTCTGGCTTTCAAATTAATAAGATAAATCTTTGAAAAAAATAAATTTCATATAACCCATAATTATGCTCTTTAACCTTGTTTACCCAAAAGAAATAAAACTTTTTTCACATAAGGACTTGTGTGTGAATGTTCATAGCTCTTTTATTCATAATAATAAAAAAATTGGAAACAAGCCAAATATTCATCAACTGAAGAGTAGACAACCAAGTAGAATGCTGATCTGGTAATAAAAAGGAACAGATTGCCAATATACACACCAGGGATTAATCTCAAAGGTGGGGCTGGTGCTGTGGCATAGTAGGCTAAGCCCCTGCCTGTGGTGCCAGCAGCCCATACGAATGCCAGTTCATGTCTCCTCTTCCGATTGGCTCCCTGTTAATAGCCTGGGAGAGCAGTAGAGGATGGCCCAAGTGCTTGAGGCCCTGCACCCATGTGGGAGACCCAGAGGAAGTACCTGGCTCCTGGCTTCGGCCTGGCAGTTGCGGCCATGTGGAGAGTAAACCAGCGGATGCAGACCTGTCTCTCTCCCTCTCTCTCTCTCCCTCTAGCTCTGCCTTTCAGTAAATAAATACATCTTAAAAAAAAAAAAATCTCAAAGGCATTGTGCTAAGTGAGAGAAGCAGCCACAAGACTACATGCTGTTTGATTCCACTTTCGTGCATTTCTAGAAAGTCTGACAGTAGCAGAATCAGTGATTTTGATTGGTGGGGGTTAAGGAGGCCCCTGACTGCCAAGAGACGTGAAGTAACTTTGGGAGATGATGGGGCTATTGTGCATCCCAGGTGTGGCTAAGTAGCTACACGCATCTGTCAAAAGTCATTGAACCACTACACCTAGAATCTGTGACTCATAAAGAATCCCTTAAAGTGAACTAACAAAACATACTCATCTTTTTTTTTTTTTTTTTTTTTTTTTTTTTTTGACAGGCAGAATGGACAGTGAGAGAGAGACAGAGAGAAAGGTCTTCCTTTGCCGTTGGTTCACCCTCCAATGGCTGCTGTGGCCAGTGCACTGCGCTGATCCGAGGAGCCAGGTGCTTCCTCCTGGTCTCCCAAGCGGGTGCAGGGCCCAAGCACTTGGGCCATCCTCCACTGCACTCCCTGGCCACAGCAGAGAGCTGGCCTGGAAGAGGGACAACCGGGACAGAATCCGGCGCTCCGACCGGGACTAGAACCCGGTGTGCCGGCGCCGCTAGGTGGAGGATTAGCCTAGTGAGCCGTGGCGCCGGCCTAAAATACTCATCTTTTAACCTATAAGTACACTTCTAAGACTTTAAATATAGATATTTATAACATTTAAATACAGGAGTTCATTTCAATGTTCTTTGTAATAGCAGGATACTCAAATGCTCAAGAATTGAATACTACTTAAATCTACCTATGGAATCTGTTGAACCATTAAAAATTATATAGAGGGGCTGGCCCATGGTGTAGAAGGTTAAGTCTCTGCTTACAGTGTCAGCATCGGTTTGAGTCCTGGCTGCTCCATTTCCAATCTAGCTTCCTGCTAATGTGCCTGGGAAGGCAGTGGAAGACGGCCTAAGTCCTTGGGCCTCTGCATCCATGTTGGGGACCAGAAGATCCGGGCTCCTGGCTTCCTCCTGGCCCAGCCCCAGTCGTTGCAACCATTTGAGGCATGAACTAGTGGATGGAAGATTTCTCTTTCTCTCTCTGTATCTCTGCCTTTAAATAAATAAATAAATTGAAGATTCTGTCCCAGTTGCCCCTCTTCCAGGCCAGCTCTCTGCTGTGGCTAGGGAGTGCAGTGGAGGATGGCCCAAGTGCTTGGGCCCTGCACCCCATGGGAGACCAGGAGAAGTACCTGGCTCCTGGCTTCGGATCAGCATGCTGCGCCGGCCGCAGCAGCCACTGGGGAGTGAACCAACGGAAAAGGAAGACCTTTCTCTCTGTCTCTCTCTCTCACTGTCCACTCTGCCTGTCAAAAAAAAAAAGATAAAAAGAAAATAGAATTTCACCAATAATAATAACTGAAGGAAAAAAGAACAAAGAGCAGTAAAATATAAATGAAAAATTATGCATAAATCATGATTTAGAAAACCACTTACTATTTTAAGTGAAAAGGCAGATCATAAAAAGAGTGTGGACTCTAGTGTTTAGCTTTTATTTTTAAAGTGATAAGAGAATAAAAAATAAATAGTAGTTGACTATCTCAAAGATACATGAGGGTTCAATGGGATTTTTGTGATGTTATGTAAATAAGATCTGGTACTTCCATATACATGCAGTCATGTGCATGGACCACATATATGACCTAGAGCCCATAGAATTATAATAGGGCTGGGGCCGGCACTGTGGCGCAGCGGGTTAACACCCTGGCCTGAAGCACCGGCATCCCATATGGGCACTGGTTCAAGATCCGGCTGCTCCACTTCTGATCCAGCTCTCTACTATGGCCTGGGAAAGCAGTGGGAGATGGCCCAAGTCCTTGGGCCCCTCACCCACATGGGAGGCTCGGAAGAAGCTCCTGGCATCGGATCAGCTCAGCTCCGGCCATTGTGGCCAATTGGGGAGTAAACCAGCAGATGAAAGACCTATCTCTCTCTCTCTGCCTCTCCTCTCTCTGTGTAACTCTTTCAAATAAATAAATAAATAAATCTTTAAAAAAAAAAGAATTATAATAGGGCTGAAAAATTCATAGCTGTTGTAACCTCATAGCACAGTGCATTATTCAAGTGTTTGTGGTGATGATGCTGTTAAGCCTGCACTGCCAGCTGTATGAAAGTATTGCACATGCAGTTATGAACGGTGTGTAATAAAGTGAATAAATGTTACTAGCTTGTGTATTTACTATACTATTTATCATTATCATATTACTTCTAAAATATTTAACGGGAGGTGCTGTGGCGTAACGGGTAAAGCCTCTGCCTGTAGTACCGGCATCCCATATGGGCGCTGGTTCAAGTCCTGGCTGCTCCACTTCCAATCCAGCTCTCTGCTATGCCCTAGAAAAGAAGCAGCAGGAGATGGCCCAGGTCCTTGGGCCCCTGCAACCAAAGTGGGAGACCTGGAAGAAGCTCCTGTTTCCTGGCTTCAGGTTGGCTCAGCTCCAGCCATTGTGGCCAATTGGAGAGTGAACTACTGGATGGAAGGCCTCTCTCTCTCTCTCTCTGCCTCTCCTTCTCTCTCTGTGTAATGCTGACTTTCAAATAAATAAACAAATCTTTAAAAAATAAATAAATAAATAAAGTATTTAAGAAATGTTCGCTGTAAAACACTCCCAGGCAGGCCCTTCAGGAGGAATTCCAGGGGCAGGCATTGTTATCATAGGAGATGACAATTCCATACATGTCACTGCTCCTGACAGTGGTCCCTCCCAGTGCGAAAGATGTGGAGGTGGAAGACAGTGATGTTGATGATCTTGACTCTGTGTAGGCCTAGGCTATTGTGTGTGTTTGTGTCTTAGTTTTTAACAAAACATTCTAAAAATAAAAAAAGTCTATAGAATAAAGTATCAAGAAAATATTTCTGAACAGTTATAAATGTGTTTTAAGCTAAATGTTATTACAAGAGTCAAAAAAGCTGGAAAAAAGTTTATAAAGTAAAAATGCTACAATAAACTCAGGTTCATTTATTCTGGAAGAAGCATTTCTAATGAATTCCATATAGACTGAATAGGCAGTGTTATAAAGCCTACAGTAGAGGATGGTAATGGCCTAGGCTTTTTTGTTTTTTTTAATTTATTTACTTATTTGAAAGTCAGAGTTACACAGGGAGAGGTGGAGGGGCAGAGAGAGAGAGGTCTTCCATCTGCTGGTTCACTCCCCAGTTGTCCACAATGGCCGGAGCTACGCCGATCTGAAGCCAGGAGCCAGGAGCCTCCTCTGGGTCTCCCACATGGGTACAGGGACCCAAGGATTTGAGCCATCTTCTACTGCTTTTCTAGGCCATAGCAGAGAGCTGGATTGGAAGTGGAGCAGCCAGGACTCAAACCAGTGCACATATGGGATCCCGGCACTGCAGGTGGCGGCTTTACCCACTCCGCCACAATGCTGCCTCCTGGCCTAGGCCTTAATACTCACCACTGAAGCCCCCAGAGCAACTGCCAGGTCCAGCAAGCTCCATTCATAGTAAATGCCTTCTACAAGTGTGTTTTTTTAAGTTTATTGATTTATTTGAAAGTCAGAGTTACACAGAGAGGGAGTTCTTTCATCCTCTGGTTCACTCCCCAGACGGCTGCAACAGGAGCCAGAAGCCGGGAGCTTCATCAGGATCTCCCATATGGGTGGCAGAAGTGTAAACACAAAGCCAT